TTAAATATATAGAGACTAGAAGTCATTGACTTGCGTTGACAAAAATTTAAATTATATGCAACATTTTTTATAAATGATGCACGACTAGATGTCGTAAATATTATTAAATGTGTAACGCACATACATATCTGAACTAATCCGTCCATTTATCTGTATTGTTTTTTTAAAAATTTTGTAGGGATTAATTATATATTTGTACATAAATTCTGTATAGATATATATTGATGTTGAGAGAGATAAATTTCCCACTTGTATATCATATACAAATATAATAAAATAATTTTTCCTAATAAATAGCTATCATGTTTTTATTCTCATCCAAGAAAAACAAAAAATCAAGATAAATCAATTTGACATTATATTAATTAAATTCATGTCATTTTTTTTGTCATGATTCAATCAGTATGACATTATTTCGTCTTTCTTCTTTCTTATACAAATATTTAGATTACATGTCAAATTTTCAAATACAAATTAAATCAATTAAATATATCTCTGCACAGTGACCCACTTTGTTCTCGCTTATTGTAAATTATAAGACGCGGATCTTTCGCGTGCACGCGATAACGCGGAGGAAAACGTTTGCCGTTTGACCTAATTTAGATTCTATTCTGATCGACCGCGCTGAATCTTCCGCAGTTATGTCAGTTGCGGCCAGTATAATGCGTCATCTTGTGGATTGTTCGTTGAGATTTCGAGGTGACACATTTGCGTATTGCGGAGGAATTCCATTCAGCAATGACTCGCGTCGCGCAACTACGACATAATTTTCATGATTCAGTTACAGGATGTACATATGTTAATTTTTACAAATATGATATACGTCTTTTTTTTTGGAGGAAATATGAATAAGAATAGTGAAAATGGATTTGTAAGAGAAGCGGAAGTCACATAAAAGAAAAGAAAGTGTTCTTCCTCACCGAGAAATTGTTTACGCTCATTTTAGACGATTTTTATTCGAATTCTCATCAAATATTTCAAGACGGAAATCGTTGTGTTTTAATTTTTTATGCCGTGCATTATTTTGACATACGAATCATCTTTTTAAAATAAAAAGAAGAAATAGAGAGAAAGATATAGAAGTTTATGATGCGAATGCATTTAAAAAATACGTGTGTCTTTTCATTTTTCAATTGCTTTTGCATAAAATTATAAATAGAAAATTGTAAATCCTAGATGAGGTGTATATACTTTCTGTAATAAAATTACAGATTTTAAGAGACTCAGCATCAGATAATTAAGATCCTTCTAAGATATGGGCATCAATATTATTAAATTGCTTGCCAATTTAATTTGTAATATTATTACTCTATAAGTAGGATTGCATTTCAAGATTAAAAATTAAACTCGACGCGCAGTTTACAAGATCTGATTAGATATGATTTATTAATATATAAATTCACACTGAATTATTTAAACGACCCAGCTTGACTGATGATGAATTTAGGACTTTTATTTCCTATTTGTATAAATAGAACATTATTCTGAATTCTCCGCGACGATTTATCGATCGCCTGAAGCAAGTTTTAGGCTTAGAAACGCACTATTCGCGGTTCGCTTACGTCCTACAGGATCAAGGTCGGAATGCGATCATGAAGAGAGAAACGATATGCATAAATAAGACGTGCGACATGCGCTGACACATTATGCACCTTGACGGTGCAGGGACGACGAAAGAAGCGACAGGATCACCGCGCGAATTTCCAAAAATCTCAAAAAACTTTTCTTTACAAGAAAACACAAATTCTTAACTCCTTTTTTTCAATTTATACTACAGACATTTTAAATATCAATTTATTATTAACTTCTTTATTAGCTTCATATCAGTATCGCAATATTTATTGAGAATGGTTGTGTTTCTTCTTTTACTTTCAGAACTTTTCTTATGAAACTCCGATTTATTAAGAATCCAGTTCTACCAATGTAATTAAGATTAACTTTAATCTCAGTTTTAATTTACTTTATCTTTTTCTTATTAAATTAGAAAAAGATAAAGAATAAGTTGAACCGAGATTAAAGTTAATTTACATTGGTGGAAATAAACGTAAGGCAAGTCAGAGCAAGTCAAAGTACTATTGTTCAGTTTGGACCAAAGGTTCAGCAGATTATCTCTCTATTTCGAGGATAAAGGAAGGCACTCTTTTTTGCTCCCAGGATCATTGTCAGAATCTAAGCCCTCACTGTGGACGGTCCTGCATAGATTCGTTACGTTTAACGGCCCGCTCGTGGGATACCTACTTGCGCGTGGGGCTGTTTGTTGAGTCGAGGTGAAACACGAGTTAGGTTAGGTTAGTTAGAACTCGGCCGTTCGCTCCGCCAATAACGCGGGTCGCTTGGGTGTGGTTATTAGTGCCGTGGGACCGTCAGATAGAATTGTGTTTCATGAGAGTATAGTTTACGCTGTGCGTCCAGACGGTCGGACGTCTCGTCTCTCTTTCACGATTGTCTCGGTAGCACGCAAAGCGGCGACATGAAGAAGAGAAGCCTGTCCGGCAACGTCGGCGTTGGCGTGTTCCTGGTAGGATTCATCTGCGTGTGCGTCGCCTTCGGCACGCCCTCCTGGTTAGTCAGCGACCCACGGATCGTCGGGGCGCAACTCGATCGACTCGGCCTGTGGCGACACTGCTTCAGATCGCTGCCCAATCCCCAGGAGTCCGACGCGCCTAGGCGATTCTTTGTTGGTTGCAGATGGGTCTACGACCCGTTTACCGCGGGTTACTCTGAAATCCGCGGCTTTTTACTGCCCCGTAAGTAGTCGTATAATCGGTGTAACAATCTCTGAGAGAAACTGTCCTTCTTATGTTTCTATCAATGTAGATTAACTTTAATTTATATTGGTAGTGATTCTTCATTCTTTTTCTGATTTTTAGAACTAGAAAAAGATGAAGAATTAATTGAATCGAGATTAATGTAAACTGCATTAGCAGAAATGGACTCTTAACTCAAACAGTGAATCTTTCATTTTTCTTCCTGAGGAGAGATTTGCTATTGGAGGAATAATATCTTGGGCTGTATTCTAAAATTCATTGTCAGTGCTGAAAATGTATAATACATATATAATATAAATTATAAATTTTCAGCACTAGCAGTGAATTTTGGAACACAGCCTTAATAGATTATCTTGGACTGTCATTGAATTTGAAATGCATTGATAATAGAATGATAATATTTGTTGATACTGTTGATAGTTATTACTGAGAACTTTCCAGGAGACATACCGAAAGTTTTTGTTCAGCAAGAGGCAGAGATAGAGAGAATGACTTTTGTGTCGATCATATATCCCTTGCTGGAAAGCTTCCAGTAATAATAGGTCAAGAATCTTTACCATTTGTTTAACATAATATTTTTTGTTACAGCTTTTATGATAGCCACGCAAGTATTTTTCACAATATGCTTTCTACTGGGTCTAGTATCATTCTTTCTGATATTACTCTTCACTCTGTGCTGTGACCCAGAGCGAAAGAGATATATCGAACTGATAACTGCCATCGGTTATTTGCTGCTGGGTAGTGGTATCAGCGGTGGCATAGCAGTCATCGTATTTGCCTGCTTTGGTAACACCAACGGTTGGATGCCTGGACACGCCAATAATTATTTAGGATGGTCTTTCGCTTTAGCTGTCATAGGCAGTGTATTGATGCTGATCGCCAGTGGTTTATTGCTGGTAGAGGCAAACGTGCAACGAAAGAAACGAGACTATCTGAAAGAATCTCAAATGCGTTTTCAACTTGAATCTCGCGCCTAAAATGAATAGCACTTCCTGACTTGTTCGCAAGAATTGCGCAATAGCGTCTGTATTAAAAGTCTGTAGTACCGTTCCGTCCATGCAGGGTGCAACATTTTATTTTAGAACTTTTCTCTTTCTCTATGAAATGTACAAAATGAAATAGATCTGTATTAATTTAAGTTTAGAAAATACGTAAGTTTAATATTTTTGTACAATATTTTATATCTCTCTTTATATAACATTACGTATATTAGATCATAGTATTGTACGATAATATCATTATTAACGATATGAGACGGTACACGCATCTTAAAACAATTGCAGAAAAATTCGCAAGAAATTAAATAATATAAAAAGGGTCCACGATTTTTTATTCGAAACCATTTTTAATATAAAGATTTAAAGGTTAATATGTATAAAATTTGCCCTATATATACATATATATATATATATGGGGCAAATTTTTTAATTCATTGATTAATCAATCGCAACTGTGCGTAAATATAATTTTGTAAAAGTTGCATTTGCGCATAATGCGATTAATCAACTAATGAATTAAAAAATCACCCACATATTTATATAAAATCGTGAGTTGTGAAGAAAAGTTATTTATTTACAAATCGTGTGCACAGTTAATAATCGTTTTATCACTTCTCTTTTTCTATACAAAAGCATTTAATTAAGATGCAACGCTATGTTTTAAATCTTACTTTTTGACAAATATTTTATTATGTATAATATTTTATTACAATTTTAACTTGTTAACGTCATTTTTATTACTTATATGTAGTTTTTCACGAACTTTTCTGTGTAGCGTTTTGAGACGCAAATTACGAAATGCTTTGTAGATTGTATCTACATATATGTATATTGTATTAAATTTTATGCACGAGATTATATTCGCACAATGCAGTTATGCAATACATATCAATATGAAAATCTAAGCTAACGAGATTAATAATTAATAATTAATTAAAGATTAAAGCAAATTTTGTAATTCTATTCTTTACCAAATAAACCTTCTAATACAAGATATTCTTATTTCTATAGCCTCAATCTCTCTTAAATTTACATAAATTCAAATAAATTATATCTCTCGTTAAATAAGATAATAATAAATTTGAAATATATAACTATAATTCAGGCAAACTAATGAAAAATCTGTTGAAAAACTGAAGCACTTGTTTCTCTTTTTTTTAACGAAAGCATTATTATTAAGTTTCTTCAATCAGCACCTATCCCTGTATTCGTTTACGCAGCGCAGAAGTATTACTTTATCCTTGTTGTTTGCCTTAAACAAGAATTAAATGATACTCGTGTAAACGAATGCACCCATGATGTAAGAAGACAAGAGCTGAGTTCGCTTTGACGTTCACGACGCTTGTGCATTAATTGTCCTTGTTTGATATTTAATAAGCAACAAGAATGAAATGACGCTTAAAACGTTGAGCGCCAAAGCAGACAGCCTAGCGCACCATTGCATTCTCGAGGATGGCAGTGGTTTAAAGTAGCGTCTGCTCTTCGATCAATCAGAGTTCGCTCTCAAATAAAAAGCAATATGGCTTTTTCCATGCATCCTATGCAGTGTAATTATCAAAGAAAGATTGGTGGGGATTTCTCCAATTAAAATTGAAGAAAAAGAAAGAATAGATTGGATCGTATTAATATCGTATTAATATTGTCTATTTAGTTTGCACAAATGCCAATGTATTATGTAAAATATTGTACTAGTCTCACGTCTTATAAAAAACAAAAAATGTTAAATTACTTCGATTTCCTAAGGTCAAAATTATTTGATTTCAACAATGATTTCAAGTTAAAGAACAAAAATAGATATAAAAGTTGATGCGGCTAAAATTGATATA